CCAATCTTTACATGTTATGTTTTGTGACTCACAGGCCTTTATTGCCTTCAATTTGATCTTCAAAAAACCCTCCCATGAGAGATTGTAAAGCATTTGGTAAGATTCTGACAGGTAATAGGTTGTCAATCAAGGGTGGCTGCTATTGCCCTGAGCACAGTTATCATAGCCGTCGCCACCATCTTGGGTGGCATCATCTGGAGAGTCAGGAATGGCTGCCAGCCCTGGGATTCTAGTCCCAGGGATCCTGTATGCTCGGTTACGGAGTGAAGACACGTGCCCACTCTTGTTTCAGTGTAGCTTGTGTAGCACGTGGTGCCATGATAAAAATACTCATGTGTGTGTTTGCAGATTTGACTCTTCTGGATGAACAGTGGCGTGTATTTTTGTGCCAAGTACACACTGTTTTAACTACTTTTGCTTTAGGGTGCATTTTACTAAATGATAAGTAATTCTCCCTTAATGTTCTGTGATTGACCATCTTACCACTTATTTTATTTGGTTAGTTTTAGGATTCTTCCACTGGTTCTAAGAAAAAACTGCTTGAATTTAGATAGATAACATACTGCATTTCATTTATAAAGTTGTTTTGGATATTTATATTACTTTTAAGAGAATTAATCCTTACGATGTTTAATCTTTCCATTTGAGAACTTAGCGTGTTTCCATTCATTTAGGTATTTTTATATCTCCTAAGTAAGTGCTGTAATATTTTATGGTTTGTATAAGATTATTCTTAGGGCTAGCCTAAAATATGCATACCTGTGTATGTAAGCTATTGTGAGTGTGGTCTTTTCTGTAGGTTTTCTGCTCAGTCGCTGTTCTGTGCATGTGTCCTCCGCTGCCTCTCTCCGCTCTGCTGGCCTTTGGCTAGTTTTAGAGCAGTGTGCTGCCTCTTTCAGGTAGGCAGCCTCTGACCTCCGTGTGCTTCTGGCCTGCATGGCCGTGGGGGGAAGCACGCTCTCTGGCTAACCCATCTTTGTGCTTGCTCGAGTGGTGACTCCTGGAGGCCCTGCACTAAGGATTATTGGGCCTGTTGGTCCTGCTTGACCCTGAAATTGAGACCCAGGTGGAATCTGGGCCTGTTTACACATTTTGGCTAAGTTTTGTTGGTTTCACTGATGGTGGCAGTTCAGAAGCTGCTCCTGGGGTGTCCGCGCTCTGCCCCCTGGCCATTCACTGTCTCTATGGCCCTCTCCTGGTGTCTGCTGGTGGACAGGTTAGTGAGGGAAGAAGGACCTTCCTAGGATTGGGCCAGATGAATGGGTCTCTGGCAGCTGAGTTGCTGCTGAGCCTTTCTGTATGTTTGGTGATTTGAAAGTACAGCCGCTCTCCTATTCCACAGCTTGTGCATCTGTGGGTTCCACATCCTTGGATTCAACTAACCATGGATAAAAATATTCACCCCCCCAAACAATCAAATACAACAATAAAGCAAATAATTCAAATCAAAACAATACAGCATAAAAGCTATTTACATAGCATTTACATAGTGTCAGGTATTGTAATTAATCTGGAAATGTTTTAAAGTGAATGGAAGTGTGTAGGTCATATCCAAATACTACGCCATTTTATAACAGGGACTGGAGCATCCTCTGATGGATTTTGGTGTTTCTGGGGTCCTGGAACCGGTCCGCCATAGGTGCTGAGGGATGATGTTGGCAACGAGGTGGGATGGTTTCTGTTTTTGCTTCCATCTGCTGCCCGCTTCTGTGGGCCTCCTGTTCTATCATCTTTACCAGGAAAGGAGCTGTGGCTGCTGGATTTGCATTACTGAATGAAGATGCTAGAAGATATACCTGATAAAAGTGGTGTGAAGTTTGGCTTTTTTTTTTGAGGCAGAGTCTCACTCTGTCACCCAGGCTGGAGTGCACTGGTGTGATCTCAGCTCATTGCAGCCTTTACTTCCTGGGCTCAAGCGATCCTCTCACCTCAGCCTCCTGAGTAGCTGGGACTACAGGCACTCACCACCACACCCAGCTAATTTTTTAAAAAAGGTTTTTATTTGTAGAAACAGTGTCACACTATATTGCCATAACTGGTCTCGAACTCCTGAGCTCAAGCAATCCTCTAGCCTTGGCTTCCCAAATTGTCGGGATTACAGGCCTGAGCCACTGTGCCCAGCCTGTATTTCATAGTTAATTGTTGTTTCAGCTTTAAGCTGTCCACAGGTCCTGGCAATAGCATTCTGACATTTTATAATTACTTTTTAGAAATGTTCCTTTTAATTCCATTCTGTTTACATATTTCTCAATTTGTCTTCATAAGCACCCTCTTACTCTGGGAAAACACAGCCGTCTTTAAGTCTCTGATATCAGTACAATATGGAGCTTAATTTTTTTTTCTTTTTTTTTTAACTAGAAGTATTCTGTCCCCTTCTGAGAAGGCCTAGATTTCACTCCGGAGCTCTGTGGCTGAACAGGCTGAACACCCTCGTCATGAAAGTTAGGATTTGTTGAGTGTCTAAATAGTCACTGTTATTACTCTAAATATTTAGTGTGAGAAAGCTAGACAGAAGGAAAACTTTATATTAGCTCAGGAATTTTTGGAAGATATCAAAGATACTAAACAGAAATCAAAAGGCCCTTTGTTTCTGGGATATTTTGAAAGTAAGTTAAGACATTATTTGTTTTTCCCCAGGTTAATATATTCTTTAAGATCTCAAGTTTAAGTCATATCTAACGGGAAACTGCTTAAGAAATCTCTCCTGACTGATAGGGAAATAGCCGAGTGAGCCCTTTAGACTCTGTAACTTCTGTCCAGTGGTCCGGGTCAGCGTGTGAAGCGTGCTGGTCTGCTCTCGGGGTGTTGGTGGTGTGGGCGTCGGTGCCAGATGAGGCCACTGTAAACAGAGCCGAGAGGTTGTGTTTGCAGCAGGCTTTCCCCTGTGTGTTGATGGGCAAGCACTGAGGTTATTGAGGAGGTATTGTATCTTACTAACTCTTCAGTTTATCAGGTTCAAAGATCATGTTGTCTTTATTTTGTCAACTGTAAAGACTAACATCAACTTCCTAGAAAGTGGACAAAAATGGATGAAGTGGTGATGGGTTTGATAAGACAAGTATATTTCACTTTACCTCAATGATGTATTTAATTTATCGTGCCCATGAGAAAAAGCAAACCTTTCAAGCACATGTCTTACGTTTGAAGCCACATGCCTAAAGATGCATTAGGAAGTGGTCCTGGGCATTTGAATCAGAATTGAGGAAAAGATTAGGCTCTCTAGAGATGGGACACACATCAGGATATGAGAATTAGGGGTGATTCATATGCTGTTGTGACAGTGACCCGAAGTCCGTTCCCCAGTGTTCCCATTGCCATGTTATAGACCCTTATACCTGTTTGACCATGCACCCTTTTTTCTTTTCTTGTAGTCATTAAGTTACTAGAACTTAGAAATATTCTAGTCGACACAGTCATCTTGATACTTTCCAAACTTCCAAATTCTTTGAAAGGGTTAAAGCAGATACCCTTAATAAAATGCTTTTGCATAGGCAGGTGATGTTCAACTTTGATCAGTCTCATAATCGTGTATCACATATCTCCCCTTTTGGTCCTAAAAAGACCAGCATCCCCTGTAAACATTGGCAAGCTTCATAGCTTGCAGGTGGCTGGTGTGTTTCACACCTGAAAATGGGAGGATTATTTGGCGTGTTGTAGTTAATGATAACTACATTTGTTTAACATTTGCTATACGTTGGACCCTGTCCTAAGCCTTTACATACATTAGCTCATTTAATCCTAATAAAAGCTCCGTGAGAGAGATACTATTTTCATGCTGATTTTATAGCTGGGAACACTGAGCCCCAATGACTCAGTAATTTGCCCAGATATTAGCCGCTAAGGGGTGGCATCTGGAGATGAACCAAGACTCTCTGGAACCTGGATTCTTAGCAAGCATGTTCAGCAGGACCTGTTTTAAAAAACAGCCATTTGATGACTATAGTTGCACACTAGTCTTCTTATTTCTGGGCCCAGGACTTCTTGATGTTAGGTAAGAGGCAGGGGCAGGTTTCATTTTCATCATTATTTAACAATTAGGAAAATGTAGCTTCTGACTCCTTCATGGAGGGATCCGTTGAGAGCACCCACGTTGTAGGCAGGGGACCTCCTCCAGCACAACAGCGATAGGAGGATCCTGGATGGCACCCTTGCTGCATACCAGTCATACTGCTAAGTCATTCTCTGTGTTTCATTTAAACGTGTTGAAATCCAGTGGCATTCCAATGCAGGGTATTAAAATCCTCAGTGAGGTGGGTTTCATCCCCATGCTCTGCAGTGGGACCAGAGCCTGGGAAGACCAGTGAATTGCCCAGGTCATTACAGAGTCTCCTCCAGCAGGGGTTTGAATTGGTCTCCACCCTCTTCTCCACACCTGGAACACACCTGTGAACTGAGGGCTCCATGCCTTGAGCTCTCAGTTCATAGGACTTGAATGATGAATCAAAGATCAGAGCCAGAATTGGATCCCCAGGTCTGCCTGCTCTGCACCCCTCTCGTGGAACACATGTGCGTCATGCAGAGTGCCCAGCAGGGTCTCTGCTGAGAACAGTAGCAGGCACTGTGGGCTGGGACTGGGTCTGACATGGAGGGAGGTCCCTGCTGGGTAGACTGAAGGGTTGTAGCCTGGGAGGACCCTGACCTGGGCTCGAAGTGAATTCTAGGGAACTTTGCCTTGCTAGAGGACAAAGGTCTGTGTGCTTTGTACCCCGCCTGTCTTGGAGGCAGCGTGCTTTGGAGACACAGAGATGTGTGGGCAGTGAGCGGAGAGCCCAGGGCATCTTCCCTCTGTCCTCTGTCTCTGGGCATCACGTGGCAACTGGAAACCTACATCTTATGGAGTCACGTCCTTGTTTTGTTCTTCAGAACACTCTTTTAAATGATCTTGTTGGAGAAAAATATTCTTTCATGTCTGTTTTAAAAGTTTTATTCCTGGGCTCAGAATATAAGTTCATTTGTATAAATTCTGTGGAAGTTCAGTGATGGCCCCTTTGACTTTCCAGCTTTGGCGCTGACCACAATGCTGAGCAGGAAGCAGCAGCCACAGGCCCAGTGACTGGTGGCTCGGTGACCAGCAGCCCAGTGACCGGCAGCCAGGTCCTCACCTGGGTCCTCTCAGTGAAACCAGGGTGGCTGCCCCAGCAGACAGCGCTGCGGAGCCAACTCCTGACAGGTAAGCCCTATGCGTGACACTAGTCACTAGCACCTTTCTTTGCAGGAGAGTTGCCTCTTCAGTATTGATTAAGGTGGTCAGTGAATGCGTGTCACTGTAGGTAGAGGCCTGATACTAGAACCTTTATTCCAAGGCTCCCAAAGGGAGTCTCCCATCTCTGTCCTCTCTCTCCCTCTCCTCCTTGACTCGGCTCTGCCTGGGAACACCGGACTGAGTCGGGTAGAGACGGGAGGGCCTGGGCTGCAGCAGAGCCGCGCTGTGCAGACTCTCCTTGCGGGCATGCCTCTGGGCCTCACTGGTCTCCCTCTGCCCTTCCATGCGGTGGGGGTAATGCTGCCTGCCTCCCGGGTCACTCTGGGCGCCCCTCATGAGCCTCAGGAGTTGGTAGCTGTTGTTCTGAAGGTGGGCTAGAACACAGTGCGGGAGGGTCTTGACCCATGCCTTGTTGCTGATGTGTGTGTTAGTGTGCCCCTGCCTCAGTCAGCAGGGACCCTGTAACTAACGGAAGCCCGGGGCAGTGTTGGCGCCCTTGCCTTCCCTCGGCATGTCAGCCTCAGGTGGCCCTTTCTGGGAATGGACCTTCTCTTTGTCGTGGTCGGCCCTGGGTATGGGATTCTTACAGTGCCTTTGGCAGGTCCGAGATGGTAGCTGCAGATGCAGGCAGGGAGCTGAGGCCAGAACGGCTTCAGCACACAGACCTGCCGGAGCCTTTGCCTGCAGAGGGGAGGATGCTGTTAGCTCGGGCTTCCCCGCAGTATCCCGCAGACTGGCTGGCTACACAGCAGAAGCTTGTTTTCTTCCAGTTCTGGAGGCTGGAAGTCTGAGGTCAGGGTGACAGCTGAGTTGGTTCCTCCTGAGGCCTCTCTCCTGGGCTTGCAGATGGCTGTCTTCTCGTGGTGTCCTCACCTGCTCTTCGCTCTGGACCTGTCTGTGTCCTGTAAGGACACCAGTTGTATTGGATTAGGGCCCACCTTTGTGACCTGGTTTTAACTTAGTGACCTCTGTAAAGACTCTGTCTCCAAATACAGTCACATTCTGAAGTGCTGGGGGTTAGGGCTTAACACAGGAATGTTTGGGAACACAGTTCAGCCCAGGTCAAAGGCCTGAAGGGAGGCTGGGGGACCTGGATCCTGCTGGTCACCTTCCCTCATATCCACACCCTTGGTAGGAAGTTTCTGGGCTGTCTTTTCTCAAATGTCTGCCTTGTGTTAGCTTTGTGTTAGATGCCGAGTGACATTTTACACATCCCCTTCTAAATTCAAAAGGTGCACATGTGGACATTTTCCTTCTTCTCGCCAGACAGCTCACACTGCCGTTGCTTTTTATCTGAGAGTCTGTGCCCCTGCATAGAGAGGGTCCTGGCGCCAGTGAGGAGGGGGAGCTGGAGCCTCCTGCAGCTCCCGCCCTGGTCATGCATGAACTGTGACCTCCCCCAACATCCACTGCCTTGCCGGGGAAGTGGGCTGTGCTGTTGGGATGGACTGTCTTTTGTAAAACAGGTCCTTTGCCCTCCTCCTCACAGCGTAAGTAAGTGAAGGTAGCAGACCTCCCTATCTCAGAATGGATCAGAGAAAAAGCCACCTCTTTGTGACCGGTGGTAGCTCTACAGACCCTTCCATGCCTGAGACCCAGGACAGGGCTCTAGGGCAGCTGGGTCCCTCGTCTTGCCTCTTGCTCATTGCAGATGATGTGCAGTGCCTGAACCATCAGGCAGATGTGTGAGCTGCAGGAAGGCGGCCCTGCGATGCTGCGTCAGGGAATGCCGTGCTCACAGGCAGGTGGTTGCCCTCCTTGGACCCTCCTGCCCCTTTGTGCATTGCCCAAGATCCTTCATTGGTGACGTAGATTTGTTCTGAGTGATGCTCAGACTCCTCGAGATTTGGGACGAGTTTTCTTTCTGGCAAGGCTTTACAGTGATGAAGAGACATATCTGAAAATGGCAAAAAGCCATCTCTCATCAGCCCCAGCACCCACTTTCTGGATCACCTGACAGCCTTGCGCTTCCAGCCTTTTCTTACTGGCCATGTCATTCAAAGGGAACTCTCCTTCCCAGCCTCTCCATTCCAATTGCCTGATTAGGGACTGCTAGGCATGAACATGGCATTGAAACAAAACTTCGTTTCCCACTTAGTCTTTGTGTTTTTGGCTTGAAATCTGATGATCACTGGCAGCTTATGGAGCAGGTCCACCTGTGTGGTGGCTCCACTCGGTGGGGTGCCTCCTCCGTCCTCCAGGAGGGAGACGCTGAGTCTGTGGCCATCTGTGGCCCCATTTGACAAGTTTGAGTCCCTCGAGGGGTCAGCAGGTATTGAATGAGGCATGGCCTTCCAGGGAGTGCTCTGGGAAGTAGTTTCCAAACTTCGTAAGCCGTGAAACCTTTCCTTGACTTGGGACTCTCAGATGGGCTCCCCTGTGTCCATCAAGTGAATAAGTGAACGTGCGCACCCATTTGGTACCTGGCACTGTCCAAGTGCTGGGGCAACATGGTCACAAGATGGCCCCAGCTCCTGCCTGCAAGGAATGTATTTCTGGTAGAAAGATATCCTACTAAGAGCTCACGTTTTGCTTGACCTAACAGTTGAAGCCCAATCCCGTGGGGTTTCAGAAAGCTGCTACAAAACAAAATAATAGAGTCTGAGAAGAACTAGTTATCGTCAGAGTAGACTTCAGTTTGCAGAGTGTCTAGATGAAGGCACCCAGGCCTGGGTGTGATGGGGCCTGAGGTGGGAATCCCAGACCCTGTAGTGACGGCCTTGGCACTAGACTTGGGAGAATCAGCTGGGCCCTCAGGGCACCCCTCCTACCATTCTTCACTGCTCACTGCCTCTAAAAGCCAGCCCTGTTTGTTCTGGGGTCAAGGAGGGAGAGGCAGAAATATGCAAATGATCCTAATGGTCTCAGTGTCTATTCATTAGCTCTTGGTCCCAAAGAGACCTCCGAGTGTTTCCCTCATTCCTGTGATTCCTTGGGGACCATAGCTTAGCTTTCCTCTGTCCCCATTTTTGGTTACTTGTCTTGTTCTCATGGGAGAAGTTTTAGGGGTTTCCTGGGGTTCAAAGCATCACATCCCCAAACTCAGTGTGCATGCAGCAGCTTCTGCCTTGTGGGGCTCGGCCTCAAGGAAAGAGCTCTGCCTCCTGCTCACGGCCAATGGAGACCGGCCCAGCTGTGATGGTACAGCTCTTGCTGGGCTTTTACTCACACAGGAGGGCAACTCTCATGGCCGTGCTCACCCTTGGAATGCAGTCAGGGGAGGGCTCATTATCATGACACCAATCTACCTTAGCGACACAGAGCTTGGCTAAGGGTAGAGACCATTTCTCTGCCCAGATGCTCCGATGCATGGTTCTTTCCCATTTATGGGAGAGTTTGAACTAAAAAACTTTCAGAAACTAACCAAGAATGGTATGCCTTTCACCTTTGTCTTTCCAAGGGCAGGAAACTTCTACAGTTGTGCCATAAAACCATTTTGCTCCTCAAGGTCCCATAGCCTTTCCCAAAGGAAAGTTCTTTCAGAAACTCTTATGTACCTTGATGTTGCCTCAGCCTTCCTTTTTTGACATCCTCTCAACTTTTGGCTTCTGTAACTTGAGCCTCCCTGGTTCTGTTTATCCTTTTCTATTTTTGTAGCCCCTTATTTTTCCCCCCTAATAACTTTGCTTCACTGTCCTCCGCATAGGAGAGCCCTCTCGCATTCTTCTGTGGAGTTCTTATTGTCTTGTTTCTGCCTCACTTGGGGCACTTAACCTGCACACCCTGACTCTGTGGTTTTGTATGAACTTCTCCTTACTGGACTGTGCAGGGAAGCTTGGGTCAGGCATCATTCATGCCCCTTGGCATCCTTGATCAACCAGCGAGATATCTCAACAGTTTATTTAAGTAAAGTGTCTTTAAACAGAAACACACAAAATGAGGTTACGTATTGATTGGTTGTTGAAAATGTGATCAGCTCATAGAAACCTAACTCTGTATTTCCCCTAGGGCCAAAGACTCACCATTCAGTAATTCAGTGTTTGAGGTGACTTTAAAGCCCTTAACTGTACCACAAATAAGGAGAATCGCTCCACTTGTTCTTGGTCACACCAAATTCCTTGATATCCTCCTGCCCCCAGATTGTTTTCATTCTTTTTTTTAACCAGCTCAATTTAGATATAATACATTGAGCAGAATAAACTGCACATATTTAAAATGTGCAAATGGATGCATTTTGACATATGTGAAACCATCATCAAGTAACCAAGGTAATGAAAATATTCATCACTTCCCACACTTCCCGGTGCCCCTTTGCAGTTCTTCTTTCCCACCCTTTCACTGATCTGTTTTCTCTCAGTATAGATTGCTTACATTTCCTAGAGTGTTGCATAAAGGAATCAATTTATTTTATCTGGCCTCTGGCTATTTATTTTGAGATTCGTCTATCAATAGTTCACTCCTTTTTAATGCTGAGTAGTGTTCCATTGTATAGATGCATCCCAGTTGGCTCATTCATCCACTTCTTGATGGACATTTGGCTTGTTTCCAGGTTTTTGCTGTTTCAGACACAGCTTCTGTAGATTGCTTTCTTTCTGTATCTGAACTTCTTTCTAGGCTTCTAGGAAAGCGGTGTCCTTCCCTTTTTCTTTCTTTCTGAATTGGATTTCTTCCTGCTGAGGTCCTGGGCATCTGGTTTGGACATGGCCGTGGGTCTACCTGGAGTCTGAGCTCTGGCCTGATACAGAGGGGTAGGAGTGGTGAGGAGGGCAGTGTCCAAGGCAAGCCAAAGCCGGGGCGTGGCGCCTCTCTCGTAGGTCAGCGAGCCCTCGGTCCCCGTGGGTCCCTGCCTTCATTAATTCTTGGCGAGTCTGATTTGCAGGCTTGGGGGCCAAGCAAGCCACTGTGGACCCTCGGAGTGTACCCTTATTTATTGACTCCATTCTCGTCATAGGTGGGTAGAGATGATTCCTGGGAGAGCTGTCCTCAGACAGCCCAGGCTGTGATTTGGAAGGGCCCATCCATCCTTC